GCAACGTGAGTTTTCAGTGAATTCACGGATTTTAGTGTTTTGTCCGAGCTAGAATATACAATTACTGGTACATTATTTATCATGCGGTATTCAGAAAGGGCGAAATACAGTCCAAGAACTTATTTACTGACTCTGATGGTGTGTACTAACGTATTAAATAACCTATTGTTCCCGCGAGAAATTTGAAAATTTGTGCTCGCGCAGATAATCGAACCCACTAACTCCCGTAACCATAAGATGAACAGTATAATACGATCGTTACTGAGGCAACCATGAGAATCTCTTACGATAGTCATTTCATGGATACTTCCAACTTTTCAGAAGCCCTGCTAAAGTACTACTTTCAGAATATTCATCCGCCTACAGCAAACTAATCGTAACCGAGTCTAGAAAATTGCAGCAAAGGGACAGCGCACGGCATTCGTGCGCACTCAGTGTACTAACATTTTGCACAGAAATTATTTGTTATAGGTTGTTCATGGTAAAATGAGCACTTTTGAAAGCCCTGCTTATAATCTATTTGTATGCACTTTGTGTGTTCTTCCGTCTTATGTAAAATTATGATTGCCGTGGGCCTCGCCGCTTTATTCATCCGTCGGGAAAGTGTAAATGTAAAATTATTAGAAAAGTAATTATTTTTTAAAAACTGTTAATTTTTACTCTTCGATGGGTTAAATAAAATAAGAACATGATTGAAATATTTTAATTTATAACAATTGGTTACCTAAAACTTTTTATTTGACGTTAAGATATGGAACTACTTCCCCGTACATCGTTACCAATTTTACTGGGTGCAAGTCGCTCAGTGCGCCCGTTAAGATATATGCAGGTAGGAGCAGTGACTTTTTTATAAAGTTAATTTCAAAAGTGCTCACTTTATTGTGAACGGCCAAGGCTATGGATTATGGGCTATTCACGGTAAAGTTGGCAATTTTGAATGCCCTCTGATTTGGAATAATAGTGAATAAATATATTTAATTTTAGCCTTTGACGTGAACTTCCGAGTGCAGTGGAATATACACACTGTGTTGATTTACTTACATGGCAATGTTTATTCGAAGAGGTTGTTGAGAGGATAAAAAAAGTCTGAAAGGAAAAAGTAACTAGGGCGTCAAAAATGCTCACTTAACTGCAAACGGCCAATACCAATGACCCTATTTTCTCACTGTTTATGATAATTTCTTTATAAATTAAATGTTATATAAATTATATACTAATTAAATTTTAATTTAACCAAAATATGGTTGTTTTATGTGGACACAAATATAAAAAAAAAAAAATTGCGATACGTGGCATATTTTGCAAACAACCAGATAATTATTTCAAAGGCTTCATCATTCAAAAAGTGCGAAGATACCGCGAATAGAGTTGACCGGTTAAGCCGTAACTCGCCAACGAAGGCGGCACTAAAACAACAGTCAATTTCCCACCGCGGCGGGCTACGATATTTGCCTATACATCTCTCTTCTCGGGTCCGCTGCGGTCGCGAAATGGTCGAAAGAGAAGAGGGTTGGCAGTCCTCCGGGGGGGAGGGGGAGGGACGAAGGTCCGTGCAGGGGTTACGTTCGACGTCTGTTTATCCCTGCTATCATTCTTCGGCAGCGTTCCACGAGCTGCGGGCCCGTGGGTCACAGTTTTCCCATCGGCCACATATCCCGGCAAGAACGGGCTAAGAAACACTTTCATGCGGGAAATTAAATTAATTTTGTAAAATTACCTGTCATGGAAATTAGTTTCGGATTCAGTATTATAACTTAAATTTTTCAGTGGTGTTGTAATTTGGTATGTCACCAAGAACACTTACTTTCTGTTCAATTGTGTTGTAATAAAAAGCTCGATCTAATCAGTGTGTCTTACTTGTATTTTGTTATCAGAACGTCGATTAAATTTGAAATTATGTACTTTAACTAAGTCTTCGAATGAGAGTTTTGTGTTTGCAAATGCCAGCCTCTTAGAAACAATTTTTTCCCATCGTCAAACAACCGGAGAAATGACACTTTAGCACAATAATATCGGCTCTGCTCTTTTATATATGTGAGTCGGAGATCCCCTATAGGAGGAAGGCTTACAGTGTTGCAATCCCAATTGATGGCGTGGGATTAAATGCGGCTTATTACACGCGCAGGGAGGGACGTTCATACAAACTTGACAACGTCGCACGGGATCAGGTCTCATATATTACGGGCCTAGACCGGGATTCTTCTCCATTCTCACACCCTTTACTCCCTTCCCCCCCTCGAACAGCGGCCCTTATTTACCTGTGCTGTGGCTCTTACCAACAGCGTTTGTTCCCCTGCGTTTCCCGCCCTTTTTTTTTTTTTTTTATTCTTTGCGCCCTCTCTCGCGCGACGGGAAGAAAAATAATGTAATTTGCCCTTGGAGCATTAATGACATAAATAACGTTGCGGCTCGGGAGTGAAGCACGACTTTTAATGCCTAAAGTACACATCGTGTGTCATGGTACGTGCGTATGTGTGTGTGTGTTTTTTTTTTTTTTTTTTTTTTTTTTACCCTCCTCTGTTCACGGTAAAATAATTTGAAGAACCATCGCATCCCGTAATGAGATGGCTACATCTCCAAGTTTCGCAGCACGCGCAGAGTTTAAATTAATTAAGTCTTATTCCGGTGGGCATGCCGACTGTTCCGTGTTTGACTTCCGGGCTTACGTGTACGCCCCCGCAGAACAAAGGAAATGAGAAATGCTTACTGCGTTTTTTAATGTGGCACGCGAAGGTAAATGTGTCGTATTCGAGCGGGGCTCGCATCCAGGACACACACAAGCGTGCAGAATTTCAAGAGAAAATTCTCGAAATTGCAGATTTTTGTGCGGAATTATCGACGTTTACAGGACGCTTCCCATGTTAAGCTGTCATGATGGCAAAGTCCCGCCTCGGCTGGTACATGACGCTTCCGAAAATGTGTTTTATGCTTTGAATTGAAAATTTCGAAACAGAGTACCCGTGGTGTGGTAAAATACCACTCGCCCGCCTACAACCAAGCGTGTAGGCTTCGAGCCTGGCACGATGCACAAGCAATAAAAATAATGTTCGATATTTTGGACTGTAATATGTGTAACATAGTGCGTTAATTAGTTTGGCTTATATGTAACCTCTTCGTGCAATTTTAATGCACGTAATACTTTAACGCAAGTTATTTATATATAGAGATAGGACGAAAATTATTTTTTGCAAGGAATACCTTAAGTAAAACTGTGAAATAACATTTTCACTTCAAAGCATACAATATAATTACTGTTCAGATACGATGTATTAAAAATATTTAACCCATAAGATAATACTATTGAGTATCAAATTAATATCCGTAATATTGGGAAACAAGCCATATGATCAAGATGCTATCTTGCAAAAAAGCGAATAAATGGGAAACGAATGCGGGAGTTCAAGAGTGTGTGGGGAACTGATTAATGATGATCTGCAGGTTAAATACATTTGACAGTTTTATAGAATTCAATAGAGAGAAACGAAGACAGGGCAATCATCCACAATCGTTTTGTGTGAGAAGATGTTTAACCAGAGTGACGTCATTTCTAAAGGGCTGTTTCTTCTGCAGTGAATTTGTGTATAGGCTATTCACGGTAAAGTGAGCACTTCTGATGCCCTAGTTACTTTTTTTCCTATCAGCAATCTTTATGCTCCCACAACTTTTTAAAATAAATGTCGTGTAAGTAATAAACACAGTGTAAATATTTCACCGGACTCGAAAGTTAACGTTTAAGGCTACAATCAAATATATTTATTGACTTTTATTACAAATGAGAGGGCTTCAAAATGAGCTCACTTTACCGTGAATGGCCTATATTTGGCATTAGGCGAAATAAATGCTGCAATATGGCCGAAGGCTCTGCACGGTATCCAAAAGATACTTTTTGAAGCCGTGCTAAGATCGATTTATATGCATATTGTATATTATTCCGCCATAGGTTATTTCAAATTATCACTGCCAAGGGCTTCATTTCTTTATTCATGCGTGAACCAAGTGTAAGTGTTAACTTATAAAAAAAAAAGGAAATATTTTACAAAACGGCAGATTGTTTCATCTATATCCATTAAAAATCTAACCTAAAAGAAAATAAATAATTATAGTTATCACAAAAGTTTACGGTACCCCGTTTATTTGCAGTCTTCGGGTAAGTGCTGTGTAACATTCTCTGTTTTTATAGAGAAAATAGTATTTCTGACTTTAATGACATGATAAGGAAACAAGGGTTACAAGGAGAATTGTGTATTCAAAGGGCAGCACTTTAAATTCAAAGTTCAGACCGGAAACTATTTTCCTTCTGACGTTACCAACTTTAGTTGGCGCTTTCTAGTCAGTGGATCTATTACAATATATAAACGCTGTTAGCGATGAAGTGAGCACTTTATAAATGAACCTTAGAAAAAAGTCTCGGCCCCTGCATGCATGTATTTTAACGTCCGCACTGAGTGGAATTCGCCCAGTAAAGTTGGTAACAATGGGTAGAAAGAAGTTCCATATTTTAACGTCGAATAAAAAATGTTAGAAAACCATCCGCGATAACTTTCTTAATAATTTCACAATTTAACTCGACCGAATCTGAATGTGACTGGTTAAATCTTTATAATTTAAAATAAATTAATTGTTCATGATATTTTTAAGGCTCCTCCCGCGCAAATAAATTCCGTGTGGGGAGTCCATCCAGGGCGAGGCTACAGTCTCTTAATGGCGGTCTTTCAAGTTGAATCCCGTAGTCGCCCATCATCCCCAGCCATGACATGAAATGAGATCTTGGGATGGAGCGTCGTTGGAATGCAAGGGGGCGGGGGGGCAGTAGCACCCCGAGAAAACCCGGCGGCAAGCGGCATCGTCCAGCACGTTTCTCACATGCGTAAATCGAGGAGTGGACCGCCGGGGATGGATCCCGGATCGCCGCAGTGGGAAGCGAGCGCCCCGACCACTAAGCTTTTGTTTCCTGCAGATATTGATAATAACATAAATATTTTACTGCTTCGGCGAGAGTCGGGGATGTAGCTCAGTGGTAGAGAGCTCGCTTTGCTTGCGAGAGGCCCTGGGTTCGATCCCCAGCATCTTCATACTGCCCTAATCAAATATTCCCGCTATATAGGAATACGTACCCTTCGGCCAGAGTAAGGATTTGAATCTCACTAACAGAAATTTATTTTTTTTAACTAACATCAGACAAAATTCCGTGAGGTTACTTAAAAGTGAACTTTTAACACTTTGAGGTCTGGTCATGTTATGACAGTAAAAGTGGAAGAGAAGGATTGCTATGAATACGGATTCTTTGCTTTGTGTAAGTTTTTCCATTAAGTGAACGACAGTGTGTTAAAAACAGTGTGTGTGGAAGTAATTTTTACGCCACGAATTTCTAGTAACTCTTAAGACGGCCCGTGGGCCGTAATCGGTTTTCATCGTAATAAATATTTGTATGTGATATAGGCATTTAAATTTGCTCTTCGTTTAATTACATTTTAAGTATATTCTAAAAAATAACATAATGTAAAAAAAATTGTAACGGTACTCTGCGGACTGTTATTGGATTTACAGACAAACTTTATTCATTGTGAAATAAAACACTTAAAAAAGTTTTTTATAATTTCATTTCTAAACATAAGCCTTCATAATATATGTACGTCACTAACAGCGCGCAACAACATCATACGTCATTGGTAAAAACTTCAAGGTGCCTTATTTCTAGACAACTCCTGAAGTAAGATTAAAGTTCTCTACATAAGATTATGTCTTTAAATGTTATATTTGAGAAACACAAATAAATTTACCGTGCTGTACATACCAAAGGCCAAAGTAAATTTCCATGGTTGATAAAAAGCTTGTTAATTAACTTTTTTAGAAAAAGTTTTGTCCGGGTGTTGGCTGCTATTGAGCGGAAGCACAACGCTGAGGGTAGAAATACAGAGCTGTTGTTTATGTGGCATAAATCAACCGTAAACTAACAAATATTATAAAAATTTATGATATAATAGTGTAGTCGGTAAATGCATGTCCTAATGCGTACAGAAGAGTCGTGATTCACCGTGGTGACAGAGAAAGATACACATATTAAAATACCTTCTGCTTTCTACAGTTATTAAGTACAATACCTAAGCCTAGGTGCCATTTCTACAATTTTTTAATCGGAGTACGTCAAATATATTTCAGACTTCAGAGAGAACAGTGCAAGTGAATGATACCTATTCTTTTAAATAACGGGTGGGAAGTTACACAATAAATGAAAAATTATGGGTTTAATATCACAATTTGCGCTAGAGCTTGCGTGGATTAGGAAGTTGGAGACGAATATTAGTATACAGATCAAAACGAGACTGAAAATGTCAAAAGCTCTTAGACAAAGACACAGAAGTGTGTGTATGTTTGTGGTAATGTAAATAATTATAGATTGATAATCATGAGATGTCTGTTAAGGATGGGCAATGGGGACAGAAGATACTGTCACTTGAGAATTATTCCAGACAGAATAATCTATTGGGGATATCACGGAATTGTTTAGGAAAAAATCATTTGAATTACATATTACATGTTACGAAACTTAAGTTAGTGAAAAGAATAAACGGTTTAGACAGGAAAACATACAATTGCGAATAGAAAATTATTCAATAGAAACGGGAATTAAAATAATTTAATTATTTTTAAAAAAATTTCAATTATTTCAAGTTGATTAGAAACATAATGGCAAAAGTACTTCTTATGAAACGAATTACTGGAGTACGGAAAAAATAAAGGTCACGTTGGAGATAAAGGAAGGCTGTAGTGAGAAGAGGGATGTTTATAATAGTTATCAGAAAGTACTGGCTGGGGATAAAACGCAATGTTACAGAAGTTATCAGAAGTTCTTCTGCCATTAAGTTGCTACTCACCTTTTTATGGTTTGCAAAAATTTCAAAAATTCTCTAAATTCCATTTAGATTATTCTGGCTGGAAGAAATCTCAAGTGACAGCATCTTTTACCACCATTGCCCATCCTTAACAGACACATCGGTGGCTGCGCAGTTAGCCCGCTCGCCACCATCCGGGTTCAATCCCCGGCCGGGTTACTCCGGATTTTCGCATGTGGGAATCGTACGATGCCGTTGGTTGGCGGGATATTTCGGGGATCTCCCGTTTCCCCCGCCCCTTCATTCCGGCGCTGCTCCATACTTCAATCACGCTCATCGGCTATCAAGACCTCGATGTTAAGAGCAGCCCAAATATCTTCACTTCACTTCTTTATTATGAATCCATAGTTGTTTACACTACCACACACATACACACGCGTTTGTGTCTTCGTGTATGCACTTTAAGTCTATTCAGTCACGGGTTTGCTATGTTTACTAATATTCGTCTCCAACTTACCATGCCATACAAACTGAAGCGTGAATTACTGGAGTAAGGCGAAGATAAAGGACACGTTAGAGATAACGGAAGGATCTAGTGGAAAGTGGAATCTTGATAATAGTTATCAGGAGGTACTGACTGGAGAGTAAACCCAATGTTATGAAAGTCTGACGAAGAATAACAGGATGTAACAGGTAACTAAACTTTCTTTATAAGTAACAAAGTGCGCCCCAGCTTATAACAAACTGCACAAAATCTGCAACCATAACATAAAAAAATTTCATTTGTTACAGAAAAACTCACTCAGGATAAAAAAAAAAAAAAAAAAAAAACGTTTCCAATATGAACCGCGATTACATTACCCAAGCACTTTTTTCCTGAACGGGCACATTTTACTCATTAGATTCCCTGTTGTGTGGACTTGATGGAAAGGACGCGTAGATTGAGTGGGCCGGTAGGGGGGTGGTGGGGAAGCGAGTTAGAGCGAGAGAGACGTCCATTGATTTTTCATTACACCGTTCAAATTAATTTCGCAACATGTGCCGGTTGGGCCTGGCGTCTCGTCAATCTGAACTCGCTGGTAAAAAGCTTCGGGATTTTCGGGGGGAGGAGGGAGGGGAGGGTTGGTGGCAGGGCAGAGGGTTGCGGGAATCGCTGGCACTAGGGAGGAAAAAAAATATATACTGGCGTTCGTGTCCACTAGCGCTCGACTAGCACACGTCTAATATTCTCTCTGGCGCAGTGTGTGCAGGGCCAGGCGAAGAGGGGTTGGTATACGGGCAGCCGGGGGGAGGGAGGGGTTGAAGAGGAGGCAATCCCCTTGGCATGCGCTCTGATTGGCAGACCGCGAGGGGTTAATGAGCCGCGGTGGCGGGACCGCAAGCGAGCAGCGGGGCGCGCTTACACGCCGCTCGCGCGAATTAATACGCGAAGCGCGCGGGACTATTTTTCGCGGTATCATGCCGCCAGCGGTGGCCTAACAGTTAGGTCCTGCGAAGGCGACGGCCGCGTCAGTGACAGTTCGGGGATCTTCATGTTGGGCGGGAGTGTTTCTCTCGTGGATGAAAAGAATACGTCTACGTTGACGCGCTCGGACGTCTTGGTGTTTATTTTACGTTCCCGGCACTGCTTCACTAGATCATATGGGGTTTAATGGTATCACTGGATTGCTTTTTAGATGCTCTTTCCAACCGTACACGGTTTCTATATTTCGACTTGGCTTTTTGACGAGCATAGGCCGATATTGTGTTAAATGTTTTTAATTTTTTTAATTAAACTCATACAATTTCACTATAACCACGCCACATAAATCTTGACGAGAGCTGTCGATTGAAACTTAAACGAACGACATAGCTTCTCACAGTCAAAAGTTATACTACGCGGAAGTTATGAGACGCGGCGAAACGAACTCAAAAACGATCCCCCCATCCCCCTCAATACCCGCGCACGATGCTTCACAGTCCTCACTCAACGTAACACATTATTTGGTCCTTTGGCAATCGAGTGGTGTAACACCGATTTGAATTTAAACGATATATTCGGAGCTGCAATGCCAAACGGTATCCTCCGATTTTGTTATCATCGGATTTTCTGGATTGCCTCCCACTATGGTCGCAAATTTAAAGACGTATTCACGTCAAAAACGAATATGTGGGTGGGCAGACAGGCGCGCACTGATTGGAGCTACAGCTGCAACTGCCCTGAGAAACTCCCTTTGTCACCACGAAGATCGCACTACACCGCAAGACAATTGAGGTCCAGTATGAGTTAGAATAAGGAGAATATGATGTTCGAAGGACGTTTGGCAGGAGGAGAAATCAACTGTGCACCCCTAGGAGCTGACGACCAGCCAATAACGTAAACGTGTCCGATGTCGCGTGGACAAATAAGGAAGCGGTAAGCAGTATTACAAAGAGCAACAAAACTGCTACTTGTACAGTGGTTGGTATGGGCAACACAGTTCCAGCTTCTCTTCAGTGTCAGCAAAAGCTAGCATACCTCTAAGTATTAAAAAAAGTCCACTTTTAAGTAGTCCCGTGAAAATTTGTCCGATGTGAGTTAAAATAAACATTTACTGTCAAATGAGATTCAAATCGTCACACTCGTTGAAGGACATGTATTCCTACACAACGACCCTACTTAAAAAGCCACAAAAATGGAAATGCTGGGGATCGAACCCAGGGCCTCTCGCATGCAAAGCGAGCGCTCTACCACTGAGCTACATCCCCGACGTGTATTAGTGGTCTAGAATCTGTATATTGCGTTTCAGGTTTCCATATTCAAGTACAGCCTGGAATTAACATTTTTGCTAACAAGTTCTACTTCTAGTAATCTGTACAGTGTTCTACTTATAAACTGTGACTAACCATACAATTCGCGCTTTGTAAATTCCTTGTAAACACACTTCATTCTAGTAAAAAGTACAATTTCCACCACGGACTTCTTGTCTGTTCCAACCCACCACTAGTACAACAAAATCGGTTTATCTCGGCGGCATTGAACCAGTGCTGACAGCTCGCATAGTCCGAGGGTATACGAATGGTCGAGCCTGACAATTTAAAAAAAATGCGTCCGAGTCGCAGTCACATAACATCAAGCAATTCGTACACAAGTTCAGCGAAAATTTGTACTTTGATGAACGCGCGAAAGGCGCGGCGGAATGCAAGCGAGGAAGGAAGGATGCGGAAGCACTAAGAGGAACCTCTCACACGATGGTAATGAGCGGGAAAAAAAAGTTCAA